ATGTAAAATTTGTTTCACTCTTGGACTGTCAAATTATTTTTCTCTAAAATCACTTAGCCTTAATTTGCCTCAAAAGTCACTTGAATGTGCCCTATCTGCGGATTACAAGTTTATTGTTTGATTTAAATTATGAATTTATTAACGGGAGCTTCGCTTTTTAGCCTTGGCTAAATCTATATATTAGTTCAACAGTATGAACAGGAGAAACTACACAGATGATTGTTATTCTAAAAAAAACGAAAACGCATGTTAGTCATCTGACTCGTTGAGCAGCACAAAAGACAACAACAGGAGCGGAAAAATTCGCCAAATCTTTACTCACCTGAGCTTGCATATGCATGAACCTGATGTCAAGAGCCATAATGGGACCATTAAAGCTCTTGGTCATGTAGGTCACGTACGGGAAGAATTTCAGATGCGTCATGGCAAAATCGACAGACAACCCTAACTGGAAAAACCAATGTCGCTGGTTTAGGTATGGGTCGCACTTTGGGAAAAATTTCATCTTTGCCGGCTAAAAAAACCACGAAAATTCGAAACCTCAACCGGAAAAGAAAACGTTTAATCAAATCGAGCAGGGTCGCACTAGTGGCTATTAGTGGAAGTTAATTGTCGTTGTTTTTAACACATTAACTCTTCGTCGTCCGATCATTTGGCGTAGGATCGTTTTCCTTATTTCCCAGTTTCAGGGGGATGGGAGAGATAACGAAAATAAAGTGCCTGGCTGCGGAGACAGCATTTGGCTCGGAGAATAACAAGCCTGTGACAGCACTTGCCTGGCTAGACTGTTATTGGCTCGCCTGCAGAGAGTTCCCGTAAAAACGTTGAAATGGCGAGGGATTACAAGCTTGTGAACAGCTCACCTGTAGAGAGTTTTCGTGAAAACGTTGAAATTGCGAAGACTAGTAGTAGCTTTGTCCGTCCACAACGAACGCGCGAAGTTCAGAAAATTTCTGCGATTATTTCAAATTGATCACGTATCGCTGACAATCGCTGACAGTTACCGCTGTGATTCCCATTGTTTACATGCCATAAGAATTTGGCAATCATCGAGATTCGCTTATTCGTGATCGTATCGTGGGAGGAGTTTTGTCAGACGAATTGCGAGAGGAACTGCTGAAGAAGCCAGATAGCTCATAATTATTGCCGTTCATTCGAGGCAACCGAACGTTCACTTCATCCTCGTAGAAAACTCAAGGTTAAAGAAAAGACAACTCCTCGTTCCTGTAAGCGTTGAGGTTACAAGCACCCATTTATTCAGCCACCTCGCTGCCCTGCCGTTGCAGCAAGTGTAAGAAAGAAGGACATTTTGCGAAGGCGTGCGAAGAATTAAGCGCTGAAGGTTCACAAGTTGCAGCCATGGAACGTGAGACCGCGCCTAATCACGATGTGCACACATATTTCGGATCATGCTGTGCTGGATACTGTCTTCGGCACTCGAAAGAAATTTAGAGGCTTGATTACTGTCAAAATTGCTGGGAAGGATGTACAGACAAAGCAGATACTGGTGCAGAAGCTACCGTCATCCCCTATGAACTAAACAAGGAAATCGCATACGAGGGATACAAACCTCTTCAGAAAATTCAGAAACGTTGAAGGGTTGGCTTGCATCAACCCAAAGGGGTTTTGAGGCTTCCAACTCAATATGGGAGTCATGAAATTAACCTGTTGTAATTTGCTGATGCTGGAAATTTTACACTATTGCTGGGTTGTGCTGCTTACCTGGACTTACAGGTTCTCAAGTTTATGAAACTTGAACTGATAGAGACTCCAGGGTCAAGACAACCCGAGCAAGAAATGCCAAGTTTCTTCCAAACGATCCTGTGTCACGGGACTATGAAGATTGTTTCAGTGGTAAAGCTGGTAAGCTACCTACCAAGTACATTTCGAAGTTGATCCGTTTGTTCCTCCAGTGGTACACCCTCCCAGGAAAATTACAATTTTACCTCTTCAACCAGCATGAGATATTGTTAAAGAAGAGCAACACACCCCTTGGGTTTCACATCTATGCTAGTGATTGACAAACCAATTCTTTGAAGGGGTTTCTGTAAAGATTATAGTAGATGATTTCCTGATACATGGTGAAGATCAAACAGATGCTGATCAGACGTTTAGAAGAGTACTGGACAGGAGAAGAGAGAGCAGAGAAGTAGGATTGAATTTCAATCCAAAGAAAGTGAAACTTCGGGTTCCTGAACTAAGCTATGTTGGGCATTGTTCTCGGCCGAAGGTTTTAAACCTGACCCTGATAAAAGCTGAACAATCCCCCTCCATCTGACAAAGAAGGTGTACTTCGAACACTAAGAACTTTCAATTGCCTAGACAAGTTCATTTAACACAAGGTCAATCTACAACAGCCGTTTCACAACTTACCCACAAAGATGTAGCATTTGTGTGAGGCAAACCACAACAAAAGGCTTCTGATAAGCTGAAATCTGATATTACTAGTGCACCGATGTTAGCATACTTTGAAAAACAGCAAAGAGATAGTTGGTGCCAGTAGCTCAGGACTCGGCGCATTGATCATGCGGGCGGTCAAAGCAGTTGCTTTTAGTTCAAAGACATTGAATTCCCTAGAGAAGATATATGCAAATATTGAAAGACTTGCTAGCGATTGTTTGGGGAGCGAAAAGTTTCATATGTGTAGGGTCACTGTGGAGACAGATCACAAACCGCAGTACTCAATTGTTCTGAAAGCTGACTGAATGAGGATGATGCTGAAACTCACCATGACTTTGTGGTGCATATTGTCTCAGGAAAACACCGGTCATTTCAGACTGCCTTGGCAGAGCACCTCTCAGTGAAACAGAACCAGTCAGTGAGCCCGACGATGTAATAGGATTTACCCTTTCTGAGGAATTTGGATAAGAAAGCAGCACCCTGAAGAGATTCAATGACAGCTAAAATACTGAAGAGACATCAAGAGTAGTGATGTATGTTTTGAAAGGATGGCCCTCTGAGAATATTGGAATTTCAGAGAAGAGGCTGTTGAAAAAGGCATGTCATTTAAATCAGACAGAATTGTAGTGCCAAGACCATTGAAAGCTGAAGTATGTAAAGAAAAGGAAAAGGGGAAAAGCCTTTGTTTTTCGAGGGATTATGTTTTCTGCATGACCTTCGATGATTATCCAAATCAAAGACACATTCAGTTCCTGTCAAGTGTGTAATTCGTTCCGCAACCGACAAGACAGAGAGACATTACATTAGCATGACGTTCCAGAATTACCTTGGCAACTAGTTGGGACTGAATAGTTTGGGTATGGTGAGCTTCTATTCATAGTGCTTTGAAATAGAACTGCTTCGCCAGAGCACCGCGATTTGTGTCATCAATAACTTGAACAAAATCATGCGAGGTTTGTAATCCCAGAGAAAGTTATGAGCCATAACGAATCACAGAACAGCAACACCAGACATTTGTTCAGCATTGACCATAAATTCAAGAAATTCGCTGAAGAGTGGGGATCTTCCCATACAACCAGTTCACCAGAGTATCCTCAATCAAATGGCGCAGAAAGAAAGGCTCTAGCAGAAAAGAAAGATCCATTTGAGGGACATCAACAAACCATTCGAAGATATTGGTATACCACCTGCGAAGCTGGAGTGTAGCTAAATGTCGTGGGTCGTGGGTCGCGGGTAGTGGGTGTTGATAAATGTCGTGGGTAAAAAAAAAGGACAAAGAGAAAAAAATAAATAGAGAAAAGTTATAAAATTTATGACACGAAAATGTCCGCCTACACAAGTCTCATTCTCATTTCCAGTTGTCAGCAAAGCAAATAAGCGAATCCTTAGAGCAAACGGACACTAAGAGCGCGTTTAGGCGAAAAAGTAAGAACTGTGCACTATGTAACACGTGTAAACACCTGAAGCAGGCTAAACGAAAAATTGAGAACTAAACTACTCTTTCTTAAAAATGTCAACATTAGAGACTGAAACGTCTTTTCAGTTTCATGAAGGAAGTTAATGATATTCGATCATTACAGCAAATATTTTTTACCCAAAACAAGACAAAACAAAACGAATCAATTTCCGTACGCATCGTCATTCTGTATCACACGCCTCTTGTTTTTAAACCGTTCTGTTTGCAATTAACGATTGAAAATATCTGGACAAGGCATTTGTCAGTGTGAAGTCATATGGCTATAAAAACGAGAAAAAGAACTTTTTCAGGTCAGGCAATAAAACATAAAGTCGCTCCTTGACTTGAAAGGTTGACCATGAAGGTGGTTTCCTCTTATGTCATAACTATAAACTATAAGAAAGACCTCAATCCATAAAATGAAGTGGCTCAAGTTGTCCTTTTTGCTAACCAGCAGTCATTTCGTTAACATGTCAGGTCAAACAAACTGGTGCTTGACTTTCTCGAAATGTTCAGAGATCATGGTAGATCACCCGAAATCCAGAAAATGTCGGTTGAAGAATTTCGCAAGGAAAAAGTTCAAAGCAAAATGAAAAAGGGCCAAAGTCTGGCCTCCGTACCGGCCCTTCCTTCCAACAAAATCGGGCAGAGGCCTATTCCCCATAGTTGTTATTGTTGTTGTTGTTTTTAGGAAAAGAGGCGGCCAACGGTCCATTTTTATTAACTCAGACCTTTTAGTTTACTTGCAGATCGTATTTTCAGTCTGTGAGTGAATCGTTTTCTGAACGTCCCCTCCTCTTTCCCACAGTGATCGCATTCGTTCGAGCTAAAAGAAATCACCGCTGATTATTGGAATTGTAAATTTCAGCGAGGCGGAGAATTCAAATTTCACTATACTGATTGATCAGATGATAATAGGCATTTCTCTTTCCTCTTCCAGCTTTGATACTCACACTTCATACTTGATAAAAACAGCTGCACAGACATTTTTCGTTTAGCCTGCTTTAGGTACGCAGAGACCTTCGTCTCGTGAATTTTACAACTTTTTTCCCTTTAATTTTTAGTTCCTATATTTTTATTCACGACATTTACTCACACTTACGGCCCACACCCACGACTCCTACCCACGACCCACAACATTTAGCTACACTTGCGCAGCTGCTGATAAGTCGACGCACTCGAACAATGATAGCAACTCATCGACGTCTCTTGTTATCTCAGCCAGTAGGCCATGATCACGTTCTGAAACCGCTTCCTCAGTAACAGCGTAATGCCAAGTCTAATTACGACAAGCAGTGAAGAGATTTGCCTTCTCTCGAAGTTGGGGACAAGGACGGTTTCGTCCAAATGGTGAAAGGGAATGGCGCAAATCTGAATTTTTGCTGAGATAGTACCTGCTGGAAGATGAATGTGGACTTGCTTACAGGAGAATTAGAAGACAGATCATCCCTGTTNCTTTTTTCCCTTTAATTTTTAGTTCCTATATTTTTATTCACGACATTTACTCACACTTACGGCCCACACCCACGACTCCTACCCACGACCCACAACATTTAGCTACACTTGCGCAGCTGCTGATAAGTCGACGCACTCGAACAATGATAGCAACTCATCGACGTCTCTTGTTATCTCAGCCAGTAGGCCATGATCACGTTCTGAAACCGCTTCCTCAGTAACAGCGTAATGCCAAGTCTAATTACGACAAGCAGTGAAGAGATTTGCCTTCTCTCGAAGTTGGGGACAAGGACGGTTTCGTCCAAATGGTGAAAGGGAATGGCGCAAATCTGAATTTTTGCTGAGATAGTACCTGCTGGAAGATGAATGTGGACTTGCTTACAGGAGAATTAGAAGACAGATCATCCCTGTTTCAAATGATCCCCTCAGGACGCCAAGCACAAGGGCCCCTCTCAAAAGTATCCAGCCTCGTGACACTCTCTCGAGTCCATTGGCACCTGCATCCGAGGAGGCAGCGCCAAGTCCAATGAAATTAGCAAGAGAGACCGACAGAGAAAAATTCGCAAACTCCCATCACAGCCAGTAAAGTTAAAAAGCCACAACGACTAATTAAATCGTGTTAGGGGCGAATGTTGTACAATTGGAACATTTTGGGATCCCCCTTACGGGCCCTTGACTGACGTGACCAAAAACGGGCGACTATGTGCGGACTTCGTCAGCTCTCAAACATGTTAGAATAGTCTCAGTTTTTTAGGTTTAGCTTTTATTTACTGATCTTAACTCTTACCATTTTTCTTCGCTCGTAGTTTTCCCAAACATCTGGCAGGTGGGAATCATCATAAGAGATATCACTTTTTGATATGGAGATACTTTCCTGGCTTTTACTAACATTTAGGTTGAGGTTCCTGTTTATTTCAATCTTTCGAAGATCAGTTAGAGACGATGATCGTCGTCCGGGAAATTCTCGCAACATTTTCCGCAAAGGACAATTACTGAAAATACCCAAAAGTGGCAATAAGATGATATGTATTAGTTTTTTTACTTGGCCAAAGGAAATACAAAAGCTGAAATACCTCAAATTTCTTTCATTCTCCGAATGAAAAGGTCGTTCAGTTTCGACAGTATCGTCTTCAGATCCTGCAAAAAAATGGTGGTCTTTCATTGCATGGTTATAGGGGCACCCACAAGGAGTTGAACGGATGTATAAATCGCCCTTATAGATTTACACAAATGGTTCACCGTATTCATGTATGGAATTAGAATATTTAAAACATGAAAGAAAATCACTAACCCATCACTAAATAGCCTGCGAACAGCAGACGCATTTCCGGTCGTCGCTTCTGTCCCGCCGAAAAACCCGAGCGGCAAAACGATTTCCGTGACGTAAAACCTTTTTAGCCAATCACGGTTTAGCTCTTAAAATCAAGGAACTAGCTCACGAGACTTCTCGCAAGATCGTGCGCTGTGGATACGTTTACAAGTCGAAATTGAAAGGACGACGTAGCTTGTGTAGCCGCCCTTTTTTCTCAGAACGACGTGTTTAAGAAAGTTAATTTGCCAGGATTGTGGGACTGATTGATGAAATATGCATTAAGAAGATTCATATTGAAGAAAAAATTAGAGAACATTTTTTATCTATTTGCTTACGGAGTCAATGATTCATCACACCTAGTTCTTTTGATCATATTCGAAACGATAAATGTCCTAATGACAGTAGACGCATCATGCCGTTTGTTGCTTCTGTTCCTTTCTGGTTCCTCGCAGGAAAGTACGCTTTGGAGAACTCTTCGATAGTTTGTCGTTTGCCGCTTTAGATATTTTTTAGTAGATATCCTTTATCTTTGAACACTAGGACGTGTGGTAATTGATTTCCCACGCGTGGTTGCTTCTTGGTTCGGAAAGAACTTTGATCAGATCGAAAGCATTTTATATTTGTTCACATATTTCTTTAAATACATGTTTTTTTCAAGGTTTTAATTTCCATAGTTTTTTGTAAGATGAGTCGAAGCGACGTAGCTGAAATGTCATCTTGATTATGATCAATTTAGTGCTGTAACTATTTATTTCACGTTGGGTTTGGCCCAGCTTTATAATATTTCAGATCATTGTGTTGTGGCGTTACTAGAATTATTAACGAGCGATTGTCAGAGATTTCTGAATCAGTCAAGGATGTGACTGTATAATTGATTCACCACCCTTTGTCAGCGCTGGTTAAATTGAAATAAATAAGTCTGAGCTCAATGTCATTAAGCTATGTTACTTTCCTTTCGCTTTAGCGATTATTTTGTTTCTGGCACGTACTACCGTATTTTATAAAGCGAAACCAAAGGCCCAAATTCCATACATAGCTTAAGAAGCAGTTGCTTCGTAAAGAAGTCAGCATTCAACGTCGAAGAGAACCTTGTTATGGTCGTGAAATTCACGTTCCAAAGAGTATTTGGTGACTCTCTCCGAACTCCAAGACACTTCAGCGCGCGAGGTCGCGAGAAGTCACTCGAGCTGTATTCTATCCTTTGATCTGATCGGCCAACATCAAAACAAAAGGTTTTACGTCACGGAAATCGTTTTGCCGCTCGGGTTTGCAGACGCTATTTTTCGGAGGGAGAGAAGCGACAACAGGAAATACGTCTGCTGTTCGCAGGCTAATCACTAATAGGAGAACTGTCGCTTTCGATTTTTACCCCCCTACATGTATTCATGCGAGTATAAAGACATGTATGAAAATACTTCATGAAACATGTATCTTGTGTCTGTCCCCTAATTGATAATAAAAATTAGCTATAATCAGTATGCGAGATATAAGTCGGTGATTTTAAAAATGATGAATGGCACGAAAGATAGATATACGAATATATCTAGATTCACGAATATCACGATAGTGGGGATCTTAATTGCGCCTCGTCAAGGGCTCGGAAGAAGATGCTAAGGTGATTGCGCCACGTAAATTTTTCGGTTGTCAATGATCAGTGCTAAACGGTAACAGCAAATACATCGACGCTCATCGATCCTGCAACTAGACTCGCCGAAAGGTGACTTCACTCGGCTGCCATAAAACCTAGACAAGTTAGTAAATAAACCCCTTCCGGCGACTGGTGTATCGGAGGATAATGCGAAAACTTATAATTAGCCGGAGAATGTTCGAAAAAATTTGAGGACGATCTCTCAGCCAAGGGCATTATCTTCCGATATACCAGCAAGCCAGAGAGGGCTTTATTTTTTTTTTTAACCTTTCTATAATATTTTTACATTTCTAACATGTTTGGGGAGAAGGAAAAAAAGGGGTGAGCGCGCTGGTGAGGATACGTCCGAATGATGCAAACAAGCACATGGTTTAGTTGAATTTTTCAATCTGAGGAGCATTTTGGTGTCGTTTGTTCGACCTGAGGAACCGTTTGGTCATGTGTTCAGCCTGAGGAAGATTTTGGACGTGTGTTCGACCTGAGAAAGACTTTGGTCGTGTTTTCAACCTGAGAAAGATTTTGGTCGTGTGTGTTCGAACGGATCAAATCAATCAAATCAAATCAAAACTTTATTTCACTTCGAATTTCAAAAGATAGCATCAACTAATGCTAATATCTCCGAAGGAAAAGCAAAAACAAAATAAATGACAAAGGTAATTAGAATAAAGTAATACTATATATTATGTACAAGTTTAAGATAATGTAGAAACAAGAAAATTATTATATACATTGTGACTACGGTAACTAGTAAAAATTAAAACTAATTACAAAAGGAGCAGCATTTATTATCAAAGCTAATGCTCTTAATTTTTGATTTGAAAACATGTGATGATTCAGCAGTTCTGAGTACCTCTGGGAGCATATTCCAATATTTGCTGGCAGTGTAGCAAAAGGAGTGCAAACCATATTTGGTCGATTGAACCGTGGGAATACTAAGAGAGTGTTAAACACGCAAATTGTAGGAAGAATTTCTTTCTACCAGCAGCACGTTAATATAACTGGGGGCCAGACCGTGAAAAGACTTATATACAAGAGTTGACGTATCATGTATTCTACGATTGTGCAGGCTAGGCCGATTGATGTTATTTGGAAGTTTTTCATAGATTTTGGTCGTGTACTCGACCTGTAGTCCAGTCTTTCTGTGGAAAAAAGTAGGTTAACCTGGGACTAATTGCAACAGAAGAAATTCCAACTGTTTTAGATATTTCAAAATTCGTCAATCATGAAGTGTTAGTACAACACACACAAAAAAAGATTGGGTGTCTATATACCGATCAAGTTTGTGGCGGAAAATAATCTTCACTACTGCCATCAACTATGAATTAATGATAAGAAATTGATTGTGGCACACCGGAGCTGTTACTCAAGAGTCGCTTCAAAATAGTAGCGTAGCGAAAATCTTCGTATCTTATGGAGTTAAAGACGAAAGAAAGTATTGTTCGTTTTTTCGGGGTGCATTTGTATTGTCTGCGAGTGAACTTATAAAAAACTCAAAGTACGTAGTACATAATCACTTGTAGTTGTTGCTGTCTCAGACTGAATCCATTCTTCATTTCCTGTGGAATATTTTTTATATGATCTCCGCGAAAAATTTCTCAAAACCCCGCAGATTTCATGTTTTGTGCTAAATATTAACACGTGTCTCCGCGATCAGTTTAACATGAGACATCACACAAATTAATAAACCTCACGTAGTAAAACATTTTTTCGCTCTTCTTAAAGCAGCTGAACATTCCTACGATGCATTTCTTCCTCAGTGATTAGACGTAAAAAGCAACACTCATTTTTGGTATTGAGTCTTTAAAATCCACAACTGAAAACCTGCGTAGAAAACGTCAGATTTTTTTCATGGAGAACATTTTTTTGTTGTTGGAAAGTACAGTATTCAAAGCACCATCGAAATGGCTTCTAACAGGACTGTAAGTTTACGCCAGTTCTTCGATTTCCCGACATCATATTTAATGCGCCCACGCTATTGTCGTTCAGCGGATGCATGCGTGCGAATACATATTGCCCTCCTGTTCATGTATGGGGAATTCGACCTCTTAGCTCATTCTCTCTTGCCGCCACTGGCGACAGCAGAAGAACACGAACAATTTAAAATTTGAATGATTTTTCTTGTTGTCCGCCGTAAGAGCCAGCATGAACTGTCACAAACGCAGCCATTGATGAATCCCTTTGCGGCACTTTCCTCGACGAAAAACCAAATAAACAATTCAGTTTTGAAAAACAAAAAACATGACTGCAGTCGTATTTCGTTTTTTGGTGGCAATACAAGAACACGATAATCTTAAAACTTAACTGCATTGTAAAAAGGCCTCAGTTGTCAGCAAGTAGACTGTCGGCAAACAAATTTGTAGATGCTGCACAATTTTTCACTCATGAATTCACCTTTAAAAATTTTGACCAAGCAGGGGGGGAAACTAGGTTGTTCCTGGAGTATGACAGAAAGCATGGCCAAGCAAAAAGTAAAGCCTTAGAAATTTATTTCCGAAAATTTTGTAGTAAGTCGAACATAAAATAAAACTTCCGTCTAGACTTTAACTCAAGCAACTGCGTTAGTTGCCCCTGAAGTGGTTACTAATCCAATAATTCTTTATTCATCTCATGGTGAAAATTCCAATTTTAACTCTACATAACTGACAATGTGTGTCGGGTTATAACTTTACAGCATAAGAGAATGAAAAGTGCAACCGGGAACCTAAATAAACTGTTAGGTTTTCTAGTTAGCTCCTAATATCCAACTGAAGTCAGTGTGTGAGCAGGTGAAAAAGAAAAAAAAATGGAATAGATAAATGAAATTATAAATTAAGTTAAATTAATGACGAGCACACAAACCCACCCATCCCCACTAACCCGTCAGCCGAAAAGGAATACTCTAAAAATATGATTCTGTTTTACTTGTATTTTCCTTATGTGGGTCTTATATGCACTGCCCCAAGCTAAAAAAGACAAAAAAAAGACGTCACAAGTGTACAGGTTATTATCAATAGCCTTTCTCAGAATGTCGGTAATTTCAGTTATGTACCCAATCCACTTTAAGTGGATAAAATGTGCCACGGTTTTTCGAAAAATCAAAGGTCAACAAATCAGACAAGTAGTTAGTTTAAATGAAAGACGTATTATTGAAGGGTGAGAAACCAAAATTTGGTCATCAAATCTTTCATTTGTTAAAAGTTGTAGCCTGTTATTTAATATCATGTAGTGTGATATTTTGTATGGCTTCAAACAGTAAAACGTTGCGTTATATCCATGGTCTTTTTTTTCAATTTAGTTTACTCTAAAATGTTTAAAATGAAATCCCCGGCAGGCTAAGGTCTAAGTTTTACATTTTAGTTAAGTCAGTGGCTCAAGGAGTGAAAAAGTACAGTCGTTCTGCCATGGTGTACTTTGGTCTGACGTAACAAACTATTGAGAATATAAAATTACTGATTTGTTTTTATTGTTATTTCTGTAGAAAAGCCGTCAGACTAAACATTATTTTGCTAAATGTGTAGGAAAGAAAGGGTTGTTTACTTGTGTTATGGTTTGGAAACATGTGATCTAGTAGAAACCATTATCAAATAAGTTTCGCTAACGGAAGTTACAGAAGGAAGGTAATATTTCATTTCTCTTCCAACTACTCACTTTTAGGATTACAGACCGTCGCAAATAACAATGCATATAACTTATTAAATTGAATTGAATTAATGCTGAAAAAAATTTATGAAATTTCTGGAATTTTTGGGTAGAAAATGAGCAAAAAAAATTTAATTGAAAGTAAAAAAATAATATATACATTATAGCATGTTAGAATTCATACAAGAATTGTAATGAATATTGTAAAGTACATTTACAGAAAAGAGGGTTGAACTAGCAAAAACAGCGTCCGATAAACCAAATCCTGTTTAGTGTAACCTCCGTTACTTTAAATAACATTTTTAAAATGTTCAAAATGCCCGTCTCAAATTCATCTTATATTCCTAAATTGCCTAGAAATACTTCAAGGAAAAATAAACTTCTTAAAACTATGCAAGAAAACTCCGCAAAACAAGAAACAAGATAATTCCCTTATGACACTTGACAGAGAGGTGTCTTACCAATGAAACGCGTGGGAGGGTTACCTATGAGGGTTACCTATGTCTGCACCAGACATCATAATAGCTTGCTTTGTTTGATGGATGGGACAGTCGTGTGACAGCATTTCCCGAAATTTACCTGACATTTATCCCATGTTTTAGAGACCGAACAAATTCTTGGTAACGGAAGTTACAGTAACAGAGATTAAAATTCTACCTTTTCTGTTACATCTTTAAGTGAAATTAATAACGCGGAAAAACCAAACATACTCCATAATAATCCTCACTAGTTCCTCCGTCACCACAAAAATCGGCACGATTCACTTTTCATTTTTTCCTACTGCATTAATGGAAGTTACAGCCTTAACTGTTCACCCTAAATCTTGCCATTCTGAGATTCAATTTCTTTCCACAGGTTTTTGCTCTTCATATTATGCGTTGCGAACCGAAAAAGCAAACTTAAGTAATATTTACCCGAACCATTCGTGATATTTATTTCTAGGCCATTTGTGATCTGCCCTCAGATCAGTAACGGAAGTTTCATAAAAATAGTGGACACCAATTCACTGTAGTTAAAGCAACAAAACTGACCTGCAGAGAGAAATGATTATGTAGGACTAAAGTTTAGGTCCCTCCCCAGACATTGGATTGATTAGTTTCCATAGTATAAGTCGTCAAGCACAAATATTACCTAACCTTCCATACACACCCTCTCTGCGGACAAATTGCATTTTTTGGACACTTTCAGCCTTGATTCCCTCAAAGTTACTGTCTACAGGAACACAAATAGGTACTATCGCTATTTATTTGGGCATATTTTAAGTATTTTTCAGCAAAATGATTATGGGAAAACCATTTGAGTCCCCATTCCATTTTCTACAGGTATAAATGGGCTCCGCTTCGGGCCCCTGACACTCCGCTAATAACGTGTGAAAAAAGCACTTTTAAAAACTCCGAGAAGAATTTACTACTTGTCCTGTATTTAAGCATTGACCAAAAATTTAAGCCTTAAACGTCAATGACATATAATTAGCAGAGTATTTATCTACCACTATTTTACGTCAAGGTATATATACCCTGCAGTATCTAAATTCAAATCTGTAGAAACGGCGATCTATCGAACCTTTCCACATCAAGCACATATCAAAATTTTTATCATAAGCAACCCAACAATGACGTTCATAGAGTGTTATAAATTTTTCTCAAATTTTCCAAATAAATTTTTACTTGCTTCAGTTCCCTGCAATTTCAGAACTCAAGCTAGGTAGGTAGCATTAAGAAACAAGTGATGTAGTATAACTTTCAGAACAGACAAGAAGAATCTTCGATACTACAAGTTCCAACAAGATGAGCAGACTGCCCTGATAGTCTCGATTCGCATCAGTATGTTAATCCCTCTGTTTATTTACCAAGAATTTAAGGTGGCTTGACCGAGTTATTTTGGAAATAAAACTTCCATCTTTGAATCTCTTATACTTTAACAAATTGATCTTTATTTTAAAACCATTATAACACATGTATTACACTTAATTACACATAGATTAAGCTTTATTATAATATTATATTTTGGCCGATTGGAATAAATATCGTATGACAATGACGTCACAAACGTTTTCTAAATCGAATTTCAGCCCTTATCTGCATTTTCTTTGGAAAAACTTTTCTCTATACGTATACTTTTGGGTGCTTGTCTTCTGCTGCACAATTACAAAATCTGCAAGAAGAATTTTTTAAATATCTTGGCATTTAAAAATTCCTTCAGTGTTCGACAGATCAGCGTACTATGAAATCTCCAAATATTGCGTCCATTGAAAACTTCTAAAATTGTCTAACGTGAGCACAAATTTGAGTAAATATTAAAGCGATGTCATAGATTTGGATACTTTTAGCTCTGGATCGCATTGGACTCCGGCTTGTTCTTTCTGGTTGCACTGATTCATCATCTGACATTCCTTGGTATTTTTCTGGAACCTTGTAGAGACGAGAGCGGTTGCGGCGATAGACTCTTTCATCTTCTTTGCGAACATTGTAGGATCGTACCGCTACCTGATCCTCCACTTGAGCCTTAAACCATTTAGACTGACCAGGCAAAGGCAAAACTCGTACCACATCTCCTTTAGCTAATGGTTGCAATTTCTTTAGACCCTCTGTCATAGTAAACAGCTTGCTTGTGTTTCCCACTTTGCAATTTCTGTGCCACGTCAGGGACAACTTTTGGCTGAATCAGCTGACTAGCCAAGGGTAGTAAAGAGCGAGTCCTTCGCGACAGAAGACGCTCTGCCGCGGAACTATCCATTCCTTCTGATGGTGTGTTTCTTAAATTCAGTAGAGACAGATGTGGATCGTAACCAGAATCTGCAGCTTTCTTTTAGATAGACTTCGCTGTCTTGACACTGTTTTCCGCTTTTCCATTGGACTGAGGGTACCTGGGGGCCGTTTTGATGTGCTCAAACTGAAAATCTTTCGCAAAATTCTGAAATTCACTTCAGTCAAACTACGGCACATTGTCGGTAATGAGACTATCTGGCAGACCATATCTTGCAAAATGAGGCTTCCGCTTAGCAATAACCTCTTTGGAGGTCCTGGACACTAACACGTCCAGTTCAAAAAAGTTAGTATAGCAATCAGTGGTAACAAGGTAAATTACCGTCATGATCTTCAAAGGCTTCCTCATCTGTGTCCCCTGATCCAAAGGCGAGGATGTCATCTGCTATAGCCTTCTGCCCTGGTAGCCCTTCATGTGCCACATCAATTCGCCTCTGAAATTCCTCCAGAGCTGGAGACAATCCAAACGGCATTCGCAGCCAGCGATATCTTCCCCCAAGGTGTTGCAAACGTGCTTGCAAGACTGCTTGGTTCATCCAATTGGATATGCCAGAAACTATTTTTGGCGTCTAATGCTGTGAACACGCGAGCCTTTGAAAGCAGAGGAAGAACATCATCTATCGTGGGCAAGGGATAATGGTTTCTGTGAAGCCCCTGATTAAGAGGCTTCGGGTCAATACAGAGTCTAACTTTACCATTGTTGTTTGTGGTTACTACAACTGCTGAGAAGTGGGAGTATCAACTCTTTGAATCACTCCGATGTTGGACAACCGGTCCAATTCCTGTTTTAGCGGCTCTTTTAGGGCAATTAGCACCCTCCTCCTCGTTGACAGTTGACCCGCTTGTACAGTCTGGTCAATCTCCAGATGTGAGTTGTCCTTCCAGTTTCCCTTCTCCTGAGAAAACATCTTTGTGCAGGGAGAGGCAATCCTCCTTTGTGAAAAGTCCACTCTCAACAGCATTGCAGTACATGGCAAGTATATTTTGTTTATTAATAGTCAGCAGTTGTAGGTGCTCACTAACTCTCAAGCTAAGAAGGGACTTGCATGCGCCAGTAACTATAAGGAAATCGATGTTGTATTTCTTCTTGTTCTTTGGGTTCACCACCTTGAAGCGTTTCTTACCCACAGGTTTAACTTCTGACTTGTTGTACATAACCAGGGTCACTGATGTTTTCTCCATGTCATCCAGTCCGTTCTCTCCATACAGGTTTTTCACTATTTTATCAGCCATAATGTTTACAGTTGATCCATTACCTAGCTGGACCTTTTCTTCTTTTCCATTGACAAGTAGGGTTGCAAACACTCGGTTAGGGTTGCCAGCTGAGGCTACAGTATTGAGCTGTTCCTCAACTGCAATCACTGCTACATACTCTTCATCTTCAGATTCACACTCCTTAGATAAGCCTTTTTTCTTTGATTATTGAAAGCAAACAGCAAAATGATTAGGCTAACCACAGTTCTTGCATGAGTTTGCCCATGCAGGACAGTTTTTTTTAGCAAAAGGGTGTTGTCTTGCACAAAACCTGCAAACCATTCGTTTACCTGATGAATCACTGATAGGCTTGGCTGGTGGACCAGTCTTGTTTCTCCCAGCCGGAGACTTTTTCTCCTCCTTCACACAGCGAACGTCTTCCTGATTTATAGCTTTAAGCTGTATCGCTGAAGTCTCCGATGATCTGCACATATGTATACATTGACTTATGTTCAGTTTACTTGTCTGAAGGAGTTCCATGCGAACAGAATTATTACTAATTCCAACCACCATTTTATCACGAGTAAGTGAGTCTGTGAGCGACCCATAATTACAAGTCTAGGTAGGCTTCCTCAATGCTGTGACATAGGCATCAACTGATTCATTTGTGTCCTGGTCCCTACGGTTAGAAAAAAAACCTCTCGTAAGTCTCATTGCATTCCCCAATACAATATTTCTCCATCTTTGTGAGAAGGATCTCTGGATCCTTTCTTTGGTCTTTAGTGTTGAAGTCCATTGCATCGATAACATCCAACGCATCTGGGACTATACAGGTGACCAAAGTTGCGGTCCTTCGTTCCTTGTTCCTGTCCGGATTTTCCGGGTCTTTGAGTTGAGCAGCGATCTCATAGTTCGACCACGCTCGGCTAAGGCGTTGCCACTTCACCGCCAGATTTCCACCGCTTAAGCCTAGCTTTCTCGGCAGAGGTATATTTACAGGCACAGTGATCACAGCGGGTTCAGTACCCGTCAAATTTTGAGGAGTAGTAGGACTTTCTCCCTCACTCGGATTTGGCATATTCAGTTCACCACGAAGACAGCGCGAAGAAATAAACAGTAAGATCACAAATATGACGCCACAACACCCACCAAATCCTCTCCTTCCACGAGTACAAGGGGGCATTTTCGGCACAGTTACTTCTGACACCATGTAACGTAAGTGTGAGACAATGAACTTGACAGAAGCTAAAGAACACAACTCATTTAATCACAGGAAAAAGGCTTCGTCGGCTACATGTGATTACAGAACAGAAAAGCGCGCTATCATCCGGGAACTTTACCTATCCTGAGACCCGAGGGCCTGGAATTTACAACATCGTCACAGTGATTGTGCAAATAAATTGATGTGCGAAATTCAGAGATTCTTTATCGTCCCACAAAATGATTGGAAAAGGCATTAAAACTCATTGTTGTTCTTGATCATGAAAAAACATTTTGCTTGTGATTTTTTTTGGCGAGAAGAAATTAATATACCAACGTGGGAAAGATGTTTTTGTTTTAAAAGTTAATACATATCAAATTCACAAATTCACAAATCGGCGCAGCGTTGTGATCGTAGCCAAGCCGAGTGTAATTACACTCGTTGTAAATATTAGCTCAAGTGACCTACAATTGGAAAGTCCTAAATGAGTCCGCATTCCCTGCTCATTTATACCTAAGTTAGTACTATATATTTGGAGACCACTCGGTTAATTCCACAGTCGACCTTTTCGCAAGAAAGAGTGTTTATCGTTGGAGTTGATCGCGTCAATCCCACAAAAACTTACAATTTCAACGCGCCAAAATTAGCCTCCTCCGCATCTCACAAAATCACGGCAAAATGCAGCATTCTGTGTCCAAAGACACTGCCTCTTTTAACGGAGAAACAACTCCACGTCATACATTTCTTTGCAGCGACTTGCAATGTTGGCCCCCTGGCGATCCCATAATCCCTTGCGCATAACTGGAAAATCGGTCATTGTAGGCCAGGCGTTCCTAGCAGAGACCGTGGAAACTGGGGATGAGAATAGTGACAGCTTTCATTGTATGCAAATCAGTCTCGTGAAGAGCATGCGGTTTAATTTCGGCGATGACTGAAATGACGCGTGTAAGTTTGGCAATGATGTAATTTTTCCCGAATCGAGGCCTTTGATTTTCGAGAAATTATGCACGACATGCACGCGTATTAAAAAGTAAATAACCTGTGTAGGATGAGAAAATATTGTAGCGGGAAAATCTTGTTTTGTGGTGTATTGAGGCGTTACGTTTGCCAGCATATTGTTATTACTGGTGAGGAACTATACGGTTAAATGAATTCACTTTGTTGTATGTATTTAATTGATAGATTTTCGCAGTTGTTAATTAAGATGTGAAGTCGTGTTGCACTTTATAAATACTTGAGACATCAAGTATTAACTACTGGAAGCAACTTCAACTACTTGTGTAAGTGTTATTTTCCCCTGTTTTCTCCTGTTTCTCTATGTTTTCCCCTGTTTTCTCCTGTTTTCCTATGTTTTTCCCTGTTTTCCTATGTTTTCCTCCGTTTTCCTATGTTTTTCGCCGTTTTCCAATGTTTCCCCTGGTTTCTCCTGTTTTCCCCTGTTTTCCCCCGTTTCCTCCTGTTTTCCTAGTTTTTCTCCTGGTTTCCTATGTTTTCCCCTGTTTTCTCCCCTTTTCCTATGTTTTTCCCTGTTTTCCTATGTTTCCCCTGTTTTCCTATGTTTTCCACTGTTTTCCTATGCTTTCCCCTCTTTTGCTATGTTTTCTCCTGTTTTCGTATATTTCCCCTGTTTTTCTATGTTTCCATTGTTTCCTATGTTTTTCCCTGTTTTCCTATGTTTCCCCCGTGTTTTTCTGTGTTTTCCTCTGGTTTCCCTGTTTTCCTATTTTTCCCCCGTTTTCATTTGTTTTTCCCTGTTTTCCTATGTTTTCTTCTGTACAAACAAGTGAAGGTAAAAATCACGCCCTCTCAGTAAAGTTTTATACGAGGAATCTCTGTTTACATACCAATTTTTGCAGAAAATGTACCCCTCATTGACATATGGTACGCCTTCCATACTAGTTAGTTTAGAAGTTTGCATCTCTTTTAACCTGTAAATGCATTGTCTTTAAACTGAGAATGAACCTAAAAACCAGAACGTTTTGTTGATTTTCTCATAGCCATAAATTGCATAAGTTAGCCCTTTTGGGCCTTTGTAAAGACCAAGATGAATTCCCAACCTTTTCATATTTCTGAAGCCTGAAAATGTACCCCTTTTGGACGTAGTACTCCCCTACCCCCTCTCGGGATCTAGAGAGAATAACAGTACCAGAGCAACAAATAATATTGGTCAAAGAAATTAACTTTAAAGCCATGTCGACAAGTGATCGTTCCTCCAGATAGAGCCTTTCCTTTCCCTGCTTCATTTTTTTTTAATCTTCTTCTATCAAACAAGGGAGAAAAAGAAAAGGAGAGAAGAATTAAGGAGAATCATATCGCACAGTGAAATAAACCTCTTCAGCATTATAATAGTCTACGTAGAATATAACTTTAAGCAATAGTGGTGAATAGTGCGAGAGTAGTACGAGAGTATTCAGGAAATAAGCTCAACTGAACTGGTAAACAGAACACTGAGATAAGCTAATTGCGTAATCACCTTAAGTGCATCATGCATTGAATCATTATTAAGGTGAATTATTACATGGAGCGATTCGTTGATTGATCTATGGATATTGGGCAATTTGCATATTTTTGCCCTTAAAGCAGCCCCTAGCTCGGCTGTCAGATGCCAAAAATCAAGCAACATGGGAAATAGAAATTTTTTCTCCTTGATATAGGAAATAACTAAAAAGCGTGAATGTATGGTAGCCTGTGTATAAGTAAAACTAAAAGAAAGGCTCTGGAAGAGAGCAAGGGAAGGGGGCACAATCCCTTATTTAGCCTAAGTGTCTTGGTGATGAGCGGTATACAATTTTGGTTCTTACATAATTTTCCAAACAACTCACTGTAATTATCTTTTTTTCAAATTAATTCTGTATGATAAACGAGATAAATCAGGATCGTTAAATGAGCTCTGGTTAGCGAAATGAACGATTTTGTCATGGTTTGAAGGCCTCGCTAACACACCTCTACCCAAACTTTCACTTGAGTGCCGCTCCACCCCCCTCCCCTTCGCCCCCCAGAGTGGGACGTAAATGATGCGGATGTACGGGATGTATATTTCAACTTGCGGTTTTGTTTTAAACAGTTTTAAAGAAATTTTTGTTATTTTGTCTTTTTCTCCAAATGCAGTCGGCTCAAGCGAAAAGCCGGGAGCCCGTTGACAAACTAAAATGCCCAAAAACGTTAGTAATAGCTCGACGCGTGGAAGAATACGATGTGGTTTTGTGACCCTAGTAGGATTTTTGATTGTTGCAATCTCATTGCTGTTGACAGAGCCTGCAAAAATATCGGGGGATTATCATACCCCCCACGCAGGTTCAAACAAGGTTCAAGAAGACTGTATCTTTCAATGCAACGAAGATATTTAATCCAGTAAAACAATCTGTCACAAGCTATTACAGCGTACAATTCTCACTCCTTCAACTATCAAACAAGAACTACTCTTCAGAGTATGCAGGGCTTTTTCTACTGCAAATGCGCAAGAAAATATTTTCAAATGACTCGCATGCGAAGTTTATTCCCAATTGTAATGTACCTCCTGCAATTAAGTTAATAATGCAAAAACGTATGTTCCTTCGTTTTTATTATTGAGAAATCCTATGATATAGCCTGTGTACAGACCCCCCCCCCCC